TATATATATATATATATATATTATATATATTTGCTTGAACCAGCTTCTAATGCTCTGGACTGAGCGGCTTGGGCATAGTAGTTGTGGCTCGTGGGGTACAGTCCTATGGGTAAAAAAGAAACTCGGAGAAGTTCCACCACGTAATTCGAGCGGCGCTATATCGAGTCTAATTCGTTACCTCTTCATCACCGAAACCCGATGGTACAGTTGATTATGATGTTTGCCTCCTATCGTAACTGTTCGGGTTTCAATTCTCAGTAGTGGATGCGCACTGCTGATGAGTCCCAAATATAGGGCGAAACGGCCGTTCAGTGCTTTCTGCATTCTATTGAGGTTTCTTCTAGACTCGATGAATTACTTAATTATAATTATCTCAAATGCTCCTAATTATTTCTAATTATTTCTAGCTGTATATCCTTACTTGAACCAGCTTCTAATGCTCTGGACTGAGCGGCTTGGTGATAGTAGTCGTGGCTCGTGGGGGCAAAATCCTATGGGTAAAGAGAAACTCGGATGAGTTCCACCACGAAATCTATGATCGAGCGGCGCTATATCGAGTCTAATTCGGTACAGTTGGTATCGCGTTTGCCTTCTTTCATAACGATTCAGATACTGATGAGTCCCAAATACGAAACGGCCGTCCAGTGCTTTCTGCATTCCGTTGAGGTTTCTTCTAGACTCGATGAATTACTTAATAATTATATATATATATATATGATGAATTACTTAATAATTATATATATATATATATATATATATATATATATGGTGGGGCCTCGACTTGTCAGAGATACGATCCTACGGCGCGACGTAACCTGATTTTCGACGTAGTTCGGAACTCACTTATATCAGCACCTACAAGCCTGCCTTACGCTTGGGAGACATAATGAAGGACAAAACTTTGCCCCCAGAACGACACAAAGGAAAGAAAGAATGTCGGACAGCCGGTGAAGAAACAACCCTGTCTTCCTAATATTGCGCCTCGTGACGACGTATTATATTATGGAAGATGGCGCCGTAACCAGGAAACGCCGAATGTCGGGTCAAATGTAACACGAAAAAATTCTCTCTCTCTTTCACTCTCTCTCTCTCTCTCTCTCTCTATATATATATATATATATATATATATATATATATATATCGGAAGGGTAATAAATCCGTTGGTATATAATCCAAGTGGATCCTAGTAATATTAAATATTAAAACTCATCCACAATAAAGCTCAATGTATTTATTATAACAACTGATAATTAATACACAATTTTGAATTTATTATACCATTGGGGTCGGACGGGGCTCCCGTGTACTGCAGTTGGGCAGTGGTGTCTCTTGGACAAGACAGCCTGATTGAAAAGTTCGTAATTAACAGGCTAGTTTTGAATTCAGTGATTTTTATCTTCTAGACAGATTGCCACTCTCTGTCCTGCTTTTTACCTAAAACCGGGAAAAGAGATGGAGGCATATCTTTCCGAAGGGTACTAGCACATAAATAAACGAAAAGAACTCGAAAGAATTCGGTTGGTATTAATGTCTTAATATCCACAGTATATTGTGAGCTTCCATCATTTTGTTAATAAGCTAGTCGTCATATGGCCAGTAGAAATTACCGCATCAATGGCTATTTTTCGATGCATAAGGCAAATCCGAATGTTACCAGCAAATTAGTCTGGAAATTCTAGTCTGGAAATTCTAGTCTTGAAATTATACTCTGGAAATTATACTCTAGAAATTATAGTCTGGAAATACACACGCATGTGCATACAGTGAATTTTCAATAGATTTTTTTCTTTTTCTCTCTGTCGTTTTCCTTTCATTTCCGTTTTTTTCTTTTACCAATTTCGATTTTAGCGAATGAAGGCGTCTGAACCTGATCAAATATTTATGCCATTCGAAAGAACTCCTAAGGCTGTAAAAACCTTTTTTTTTTACAAAAGTTATAAAAATCCTTCTTCTGCTTATTAATAATTTAATAAAAGAATTGAAAATTATTTTTCAGTACAGTCGAACCGACTAGAAAAATTTAGATATATAGAAAAACTATATTAACACCCTTTTCACCAGAGAAAGTTAATTTTGTGATGTCCCCTTTTTGGGAAATCGCACTTTGTTTTCATGCTGTCCTCCGCACAAAGCGTTGGCTAATACCTGCTTTCCAACGACGGTAAAGTAAAAAAAAAGGAAGAAAAACCGATGCCGTGGAGGATGTTTGTCAGCTTCGCAGGATTAGAAATCATTTTACCCCAAGCAAGACAATAATGCTACTAAGACGCAAAAGTATATTGACTGTTAGAGTATAGGAGAAAAAACTACTATTAAGGAAAGAGGAGAATAAATGAACAAGAATTAAGAAGGCAGAAGACTGACACTGAATTTACATTTTTGAAGATCAAATTTGACTTGGAACTAAGAAACCGTAAGAGAGTTCCACGTGCGAGAAGTCTTATAGATGAAACTCTTAGCATAGTACTTTAGATCTAGCAATTTCAACTGTAAAATGATGAGAAATTGACGCCAATCTAGTATTGTGCTTAAATTCATAAAGTTTGTGTACCATAGAGGAAAGTTAAAACAATTACTATGAAAGTATTTATGGAGATATCTCAGGGAAGCTACGTTACGACCGTGGCAAAAAAAGACTGAAGCCGAGATGGCATGTCAGGACCAATAACATTGCAGGTTCTTCTTTAGATTTTATCTTTACAAAATACAAATGCCATGGCTAGAGTATTTAGCGATTAACCCGAGTGCCTCGAGAGTGTGGGATTCTGACAGTGATTAATTCCTTTTGTCAGGGTTTTGAGTATAAGTCAAAAAACGGTGTGAATTCAACAGAGGGCCACGAGAATTTTGAAGCGCCGATTAGCGTCCCACACTCAGGTTGAGAGACAGATTAAGACCACCCGCGGAGGGACGCTGAGCCAACGTATGACATGCTTTCCCGTGACGTCGTTTCTTATGCTGTCTCTTAGAATCCAAATTGCCACATCTGCCTTCTCTTCTAATAAAAACGAATAAGAAAAAGAATTGTCGTCCACAAAACCTTCACCACTATAATCAAATTATATGTGCTGGTGTCCGGCTGTCGTTTCCTAGGAACTGAGAAGCTAGACCCTCATACGTCGAATACGACGGGAGAGTCCCCCATACGTTATTGAGTGGATATCACTGATTTTTTGAAGAGTGCAACTCTGCGTCTACCGGTTTATGCATAGATTTAATAAACAAGAGCGCAGGTTTGAACCTCTTTCGTAATATGGAATAATGTCAGATTATATATAAATCCATTATTAATTATATATATATATATATATATATATATATATATATATATATATATATATATGCGTTCAAATGACAAGATTTTTCTTAAGTGGATGCTTATAGTGGTTTTCTTGTTTGATTCTTTCAACTTTTTGACCTTGTTAAAGTATTCATACACACACAAATATATATATATATATATATATATATATATATATATATATATATATATATATATATATATATATATTTTTTTTAGGATATTATACTGAAACATGTCAAAATCGCTACACAATTGAAGTCGTATTCGATGCGTATCAATGCATCTCATCAGGCGATTGTAAATTACTGGCAGTGAACGATTTATTTACATTTAAAAGCAAAACCTCTTTTTATGAAAAAAGAAAAAAAGGGGGTTATAAGGTTTGTGGGCTTTAGTCTGATCAACAAACCAAATATGAACTACATTAAATTTAAACTAAGCGAAGAAGCAAAAATTAAGTAATTATTTTTTATTTATGGGTCATGTTCTGTAGATTGGCAGCTAACGGCAGCCAGACATAAACTACAGTGGATGTAAATGGTTACATAAATTCTACAAACTAGACCATGCCATTTCTTAAGAAATAAAAATTGAGTGACGAGGTAATTTAACAAAATGCTAAACAATATGGATAAAACCTTATTAAGTGAAGATTTGAGAGAATTAAAAAATTGGTTAAGTATTCAGGGACCAGTCACTTATAGATCGACGTAGGTAGGCGTGTGGCGTGTTCCCTATTTTTGTTATCTTTTTAATCATTTTCACAGCAAACAAGACGAAAATGATATTAAAAATCCAAAAGGTTATTGAGAGTAAAGAGAATGAGAAAACTTTAGTGGGGAGAAAAGCGCGGAATTCATGCAGACAAAACATGAAGATCGTACCAGGAAAGAAAGAAATCGGAAAAAAGTATCAAAAACCTGGCGTGTGAGAAAGAGAAACTATCAGAATAGAAATTAATATCCTATCTATCTATCTATCAATCTATCTATCTATCTATCTATCTATCTATCTATCTATATATATATATATATATATATATATATATAAGCAAATGTATAGATATAGACAGTATGAAGGAAAATATACGGAAAAAACAAACAAAAATCCTTATATACAATTATGCTGTTTTAATGTTAATATGTCAACGTCGGACGTTTCGGTCTAACAAATCATCTTCAGGACATATTCATAAAATATAATTAACATTATCAATTCAACATGACCAAGACTATGTACATAAGAACAAATGTCCTGAAGATGGTTTATTAGACCGAAACGTTCGACGTTGACATATTAACATTAAAAACAGCATAATTGTATATAAGATTTTTGTTTTTTTTTCCGTATATTTTTTCTTCATATATATATATATATATATATATATATATATATATATATATATATATATATATATATACGTATGTGTATATGCGTGTGTTTAGTCGGTAATTCATTTTAGATATATTATATGCGAAAGGAAATATTTTCCTGTAATGTCATGTTGATCTTCGTTGAGGTCTATACACTATTAAAAAAATGAGTCATCTCGGCTCAAAATACGATAAACATCTCTCCACGAAGTGTTACGTTATAAAAACGACAATTAGGAAGATAAGAAGACAGTTGACTGCAAAAAGCGAAAAATAGATTACAACAGAATTCGATATATATATGGAGAGAGATGGATAATTACATCATCCGACTGAGATAGGATAGATAGATAGACAAATAGATAGATCAATCGACTGAGATAGATAGATAGATAGATAGATAGATAGATAGATAGAGAATAGAGAATAGAGTGAGAGTTAAGAACAACACTGATGCATTTAATGAAGATTTATAAATAAGACATTTTTATGTTTATACATACATACACATATATATATATATATATATATATATATAGTGTAACTCGGATAAAAAAGAAACCCGGATATAAGAGAGATTTTCTCTGGTCCCAAATTAGAGCCTGTGTTAATGTATATAAAATAGACCAAACCCGGATATAAGAGAAACCCGGATATAAGAGACTTCTTCTCCGGTCCCGACAACTCTCTTATATCCGGGTTACACTGTATACACATACATACAAATATGGAGAGAAATAAAAGAAAGATGTGAATGTATTTTGCCTGGTATGAACACACTGAGAGAGATACAATAACTAATATAATGCTTTATTATACGTAGCATCGAAGTGGCACAGGGCCGGTTGTATGGAGCACCCAGAAATGATTAAGCACACAACTTAGTTCTAATAAATGTAGACAGACAAGCTTAATAATCATTACACCACATCGAAATGCCCCAGAAAAAAAAAAAAAACTCTCTTTCTCTCTCTTTCTCTCACGCACACACACACACACACACACACACACACATATATATATATATATATATATATATATATATATATATATATATATATATATCGTATATTGAGTGTTGGTGCTAATGAAATAGTACTTGATGAATGAAAACGGAGCTATAATTTATATTAATAGTAATTACAGATGATAATATCAAATCAGTAAGTGGAAATGAAAATCCAAGTAGTTCTTTTTAACAAAAAATATTAAAATAATAGATTCACAAGAACTGAATGTATAGCATATCGAGCAATATGATTTAGATTAAGGAAAAACTTAAAGCATCATCGAAAACAAGATTGTAAATTATAATTTATTTCAACAGGTAAGTTTTTAATACCCATTTCATCAGATCGAAATTCAAATTTGTAATTTCGGTCTGATGAAACGGGTATTAAAAACTTACTTGTTGAAATAAATTATAATTTATAATCTTGTTTTCGATGATGCTTTAAGTTTTCCCTTGATACATATATATATATATATATATTTATGTAAAAGTGAACATTGAAATCAACACTCAGAGGCAGCAGGCAGTTTCATACTAGACGCAATCGTCAGGCCGACGTCTAGCATAAAACAGCCTGTCGCCACTGAGTGTTGACTTCAATGTCCACTTTTATATTTATATTTACATACGCTCTATCTCTGATATTGAGCACTTTATCCCATAAATATAGCACACCTTAAAACCATATATATATATATATATATATATTAAAGGTATCATATCCGTTGGCATATAATCCAAGTGGATATTAGTAATATAAAATATTAAACCTGATCCACAAAAAAAGCACAATGTATTTATTTTTACAGAGCAATATAATTAATAAACAATAAAATCCCAAATCACCTCATATGGGGAATAGCCTATTTCAGTAGACGAAGTTATCGGTCGTCTGTCTTATCAACCCCGGTGTGGACTGGGTTCGTGTCTATACAGTTAGGAGCTGGGCAGGAAATAGAATTTCACTGTGAAAGCTAGAAAATTCAAACTGTCGAAAAACTAATACAGAATCTATCAATTTCAATGTTTCACTCAGACAAATGCACGAGGCAAGGGGAGGGTGTAAGGTATTTGTCTTTTATGAAATTAAACTCGAATATTAACCGTATGATATCAATTTGGGTTTATATGAAGAATAAAATATTAATTCAAAATTAAAAGAGGAATAAAAAGGGGTCTGAAAATAAATTTAAAATATATAGATAAAAGAATGTAAGGGATTAATGGAAAGAGAGTTGGGGATTTATTAAAGTAGGGGAAATATATATATTCATGATTAATATATTAATTTATATGGATATATATATAAATATTTATTATTACTATACATAGATCTGTATAAAAGATATGTAAAAATTGAGATAAATTGATCTGTAAAAAAGACTCTAATAGATAAATATTGAACTGATTGTGATATATAACCAACTAAATATGTTAACTCTATCAGTGATACTGAGCACTTTCCAATAAGCACCGCGCATAATATAATATATAGATAATATATATATATATATATATATATATAAATTACATATATATATATATATATATATAATTATATTTATATACACACATATTTTACACACGCACACAGACACATATAAATATACATATCATAAAATAAAAGAATGAACAAACAGATCACAATCATTTCTATTTCAAAAAGTGAGAAATGTTAGATTGGGATACGTTTCCTACTTGTTCTTTATTTTATCATTTTGTTGGATTCGTGTCCATATTTGATCTACATTTCATATAATAATATTTCTCCTCATACGTATATATTTCTTTTTCATAAAACGTTGCTTTTACTACAGCGAAAGATTGTTTTAATTTAGCTGAACATACTCAACATATCAAAACTTAAAGGAACACTGATGGCAACACTCACAGATTAGATGGGTGTTAGTTGTAAATACATCTATATTCCATAAAAACAATAACAAGCAGAAAGTAAAAATACTTGATGCCCTTTATATAAGTGAGTTAAAGCCCCAAATAAATAAAGTCAGCTATGAGTATAGCAACAAAATTTGTAAATGCTTATGAAAAACAAATATATATATATATATATATATATATATATATATATATATATATATATATATATATATATATATAGACGAGCAAAAGCAAAAAGTTACTCCCCTATACTGGAAAAAAAAAACAAAAGACCACGTGAACTTTGAAATCTAGAATGCTGCATTAGCAGTAAAAAAAACGAACAATTTGAACGATTTAAATCCACAGAAACACATATACATGCTCACAGGCAGTTTATCTCCATGATGATGATCTCAAATGAGAATTAATATACTTGGGAATATAAAAACGATTCGAAAGAAAATTTTGATATTTTTCTTACTCAATTTTCTATGTCTACCCCAAAAATTCACCCGCGATATTAAAACGATCACAACGAAAACTAATCGATATATATATAAATTATTGAACCAAACCTGTTTGAATGAAAGTATGCTGCCTATATATATATATATATATATATATATATATATATACAAACATATATATATATATATATATATATATATATATATATATATATATGTACATGTATTTATATACAGAGATAGATAATGAACAGCCTGTGATATATATATATATATATATATATATATATATATATATATATATATATATATATATATATATACGGGTCTATAGATAGATAGATAGATAGATAGATAATTAACGGACTGTGATAGCTAGCTAAGAAAACTGAAATTGATAGATAATGAACTTCATATTTCCTCCTCCCTCTTCCATTAGAACAATCTCTTTCAATAACTTTCTACCTTGAGTGGCTTTTGCGCCTGGTATTGGGTGAAATAGCAGTAAAAAAATAAGTATAGAGAGAAAGAAAGAAAGAAAAATAAAGATGGAAAAATGAAATGAAGCAAAAGAGAAGAAGAAAGAACAAATATTATCAGTCACTGATATTATCAGAAAGTGATTTTTCGCGTGCCAGTCCGTCCTGCGTTTCTTTCGAAACTTTCGTATTCGACCGGCGAATTTTAAGAACTTGCTGGGTGAGTCATAGAGTTACTTTAGCACTATATAACTATTTGCGTGTCAGGGGGTAAGCAAGTACATTTCAATGGACTCCTCCAAACAATGCAATTAAAAAAAAAGGACCTTGGCCATTAAGACGACCAAATATAGCTGGAAATTTCTTTAAACAGCGTGCAAATAGAAAATATAGTTTATTATTATTATTATTATTGAGAGAGAGATAGAGAGAGACAGAAAGAGAGAGAGAGAAAGAGAAAGAGAGAAAAGGAGACAGAGAAAAAGAGAAAGAGAGAGAGAAAAGGAGACAGAGAAAAAGAGAAAGAGAGAGAGACAAAGAGACAAAGAGAGAGAGATAAAGAGAGAGAGAAGGAGAGAGAGAAAGAGATAAAGAGAAAGAGAGAAAGAGAGAGAGAGAGAGAGAGAGCAGAGTTACAAATATACGTATCCCAATGTACCCCTCACAATATCCAGTTTGATAATTGTATACCAAGTACATGCATAACAGCCAAAGAAGCGAAATATGGCGACAGGTTTTCATGAAAACAATGTCTAAACGTGCATGCTAGAATTACCTTCAGGTCAAACGGTCTCTAGTTGAGGCTGTTTCTATTATCTCGTCTAGATGTGAATCCCAAGTAGCCTTGACTGCCTTATACTTCAAACATAAAAAAGAAAACTTGCCATCCGGCCATGATGCTTCCTCATGAGCGGAGATGCTCGTTCCCAGCTATTTACTGTGATCTAATTTAATTCACCAAAATCCTACTCATTTTAACACATCGAATCAATTAAGATCAGGGAGCTATGACTGGTGTAGCATCCGGGCATTTATTATTATTATTATTATTATTATTTAATTTGATATCTGTTTTTTACACATTTCCTTCCGGGTCCCAACCAGAGACCTAAGGTCAGAAATAGCTTTATGACCTTTTCCACTGATCATTTTTGTAAAAGACAAAACAAAACAAAAAAGAAGCAAATATGTAAGATGGCACATATTTTACGTAAATAAAGCTCTTCGAAATGTGTAAACCTCACTGATGAAAATTAGATAGCTTCCATTTTTACAGTTGAATTCAAAGCTCGTCTTCATGGGCAAAAGTGTCAGGGTGATTAGTTACAATTGGCGTCATTAAAAGTGATGATTTTAATGTTTATGATAAAGACCCACGTCCCTCCCTACTCGGTGACCTGGACATGTAATCTATTGTGGGTTAGACAGGAGAATATACAATCATGAGAAATTCTCCCCAGTTATGGATTAATTAGTAGGATTTGTATCAGTAAAAGATTATTCTCCCTCCCCACTCAAATTATTACAATCAAAAATATTTTTCTGACTTTAAATATCCTGCAAAGGTTGATAGCCGTCAAAAAACCCAATCAATCAATGAATGTAGTTTATCGTTTACTATAATATTCAAATCATTATTTATTATTATTTATTATTATAAGTAATGTAACTCGCGACTTGTTTTCTTTCTTTCTCTTTTTTCTATGCTTTCTTTTCTTCTCTCTGTTTTGTCGTCTTTACCTTTTCCTCACTATTTGACTTTCATTCCTATTTTTTTAAATTAACTTTCCTTCTTTTTCCTCAATTTCAATATTTTTCTCTCTTTCAAAACCTTTTTCCTCACTTTTTTTCTCTTTTCATTTTTTAACTGTTTCTCTTTTATTTTCCTTTTTGAATGTTGCTTCTTCTCAAGTTGCTTCCAGATTTTCTTCACTGTTTCTTTTGCTCCATTTTTCATTTTATTTTCTAATACTTTCATTTCTCGCTTTTTCTTCATTCCTCGCTTTTTCTTCATTTCTCGCTTTTTTCATTTCTTGCTTTTTTTCATTTCTTGCTTTTTCATTTCTCGCTGTTTTTCATCTCCAGCTTTTTTTTTTATTTCTTGCTTTTTCATTTCTCGCTGTTTTTCATTTCCAGCTTTTTTCATTTCTCGATTTTCTTCATTTCTCTCTTTTTCTTCATTTCTCTCTTTTTCTTCATTTCTCACTGTTTTTCATTTCTCGCATTTTCTTTCATTTCCCGATTTTCTTCATTTCTCGCTTTTTCATTTCTCGCCCTTTTTCATTTACAGCTTTTTTTCATTTCTTGCTTTTTCATTTCTCGCTGTTTTTCATTTCCAGCTTTTTTTTTTCATTTCTTGCTTTTTCATTTCTCGCTGTTTTTCATTTCCAGCTTTTTTCATTTCTCGATTTTCTTCATTTCTCTTTTTTTCTTCATTTCTCTCTTTTTTCTTCATTTCTCGCTGTTTTCATTTCTCGCATTTTCTTTCATTTCCCGATTTTCTTCATTTCTCGCTTTTTCATTTCGCGCCGTTTTTCATTTACAGCTTTTTTTCATTTCTTGCTTTTCCATTTCTCGCTGTTTTTTATTTCCAGCTTTTTTCATTTCTCGATTTTCTTCATTTCTCTCTTTTACTTCATTTCTCTCTTTTTCTTCATTTCTCGCTGTTTTTCATTTCTCGCATTTTCTTTCATTTCCCGATTTTCTTCATTTCTTGCTTTTTCATTTCTCGCTGTTTTTCATTTCCAGCTTTTTTTTTCATTTCTTGCTTTTTCATTTCTCGCTGTTTTTCTTTTCCAGCTTTTTTCATTTCTCGCATTTTCTTTCATTTCCCGATTTTCTTCATTTCTCGCATTTTCTTTCATTTCCCGATTTTCTTCATTTCTCGCATTTTCTTTCATTTCCCGATTTTCTTTATTTCTCGCTTTTTCTTTCACATCTCGTTTACCCTCTTCTATTTTCATTTTTTCTAATTACTTTTTCTTCGTTTCTTTTATTTTCTTCCATTTTCCCCTCTCTTTTCTTTTCTATCTTAACCTCCGTTTCTCTCTTTCCTTTTTTTCTTTTCAAATATTATTTTTCCTTTTATTTAATATTCTTTCTCCTCCATTCTTTCTCTCTTCCTCATGTATTTCTGACTCAAAACCTTATCCTTTTTTTTTATTTTTATTTTAGTTCAACCAATATCTTCATTCCTCTCTTACGTACATTTCATTATCAAACGTCAGAATGTTTAACTTGGGATTATTTTCATAACTTTATTTCATGCATCAGCAGATTTATGCGTCGACGCTGCAATGTCTCTGGCATAATGCTCCAATTTTCTGCACAATCTGCGTAGAACGCATCCTTTTTCTGGGCGTTCTCGCCTCTTTGCGTCGAAAGTTATTTACGATAGCGGAGCCAGGTTTCTCGAGAGGAACGAGGGGGGGACTCGCATTTGCCGGGCGACTCGCTTTACACCTCGGAATTTAAATAAAGGAAAAAATAAGCCAGTTATAAGTTGGAAGAAGAGGAAAATTGTCGTCATTCAAAATAGCAGAAACGATTTTTTGAATTTATACACATCTATGGTCAGGGAAAATTGGCAGAACAATTAAGGGAATCTATAGAGTTTGGCTGACTGATTCGTAAGCAAGGAGATATGTATGTAAGTTAAATGAATGTATGGACAGGTGGAGAACTGGGTGGGGTAAGTGGGGCGGTTTATAGATATTTATGTTCACCTCCAATTTCGCTGCACTTCTCTCCGTTATATATATATATATATTCATTCTCCGTTATATATGTAACGTCCTGGGTATAACGATAAGCTACATTCGCGTCCTGGATATGAACTAGATCCGATAGCAAGGCCTCTGATCAGGGGGTTTTGAGGAGCGTAGAACCACCTCTTAATTGCTGGTGTCTCCAGGTCCAGCCTGACCCGGGGTGGTAGCACCTGTTAGGGTCCCAGGTATGGGCAAATTGTTAAGTCCCAAACTGAGGTCAAAACACTATGGAACTGTAAATATAGGTTTTTAATACCAGAAATACTTTCTAAAAAAATTATTACCTGTAATACAATTTTGAAAGAAAAAATATTATCAGCAACACATTTTTGAAAGTAAAAGAAAAAAGAAAACAATACCAGCTATACATTTTTTGAAAGAAAATATTACCAGCAAAGAAAAATTATTATCAGAAATAGATTTTTGAAGGAATATTACCAGAAATAGATATTTGGAAAAAAAATGTTAGCGGTATTAAAGAGGTTGATATGTCGTAAAACAAACGAAACCGTCTTATATAGAGAGAGAGACACACACACACGCACGAGTGGCTAGAACTTTCTTTTTCGAACCGACCATGAGATACGGGTTCGAGTCTCAGAATGGTAAATGGATTTATCAGGAAGGTGACTTCTTAATGCCATCGGCCTGGGGACGCGATTTTGGCGTGCAGGACCTTTTGGAAGTTCCTGAAAAGCATACCACGGTTTGACTTATGAGTGAAATTGAGTAAACGGCTCTTTTTGATAATTGTATTCACACGTTGAATCCCTCAACGATACATAGTCTAAATTACGCAAAAATAAAAGTAAAACTCACATCTCATTTTAACAGATATATTTACCAAAATTACCCCAAAATATCATGAAATAATAAAGAGTAAATCGATTCAATAAAATAGCCATTGTCTTCATCCGCAAATTCCAGACGAGTTCGGAATCTCCTGCCTCTCTTCTGGACGGTCTCCTTGTTTAAGTTGGCTAATGCTACCATAATCCTTGCCTTCAGTTCATCTTTGGTGTTACAAGGATTTTTGTTGCTCTCTCGCTCAACTGCACCCCACACATAATAATCAAGTGGTTTTCAATCTGGGGAGTTAGTTGGTCACATGTGAGGGGTTATGTGGTCGCAGTAATTCCCTGACAACCATGACTGGATTCTCCTGCTAGTGTGGCATAGTGCAGAGTCATTTTGCCAGACATAGTCTCTTCCAGCAGTTTGACTCAAAGTAGAAATACCAGTAAATATTGGTTTTGTTACCCGTGCGTTAATATCCCTTAAAATGTTTCCCAAATCGTCATAATTCCGTGCAAATGTACATGCTGAACTCGAATTAACAATGAAATTATGAAGAAATCTTACCCTTTTGGAGTTATCGACAAGAAAAAAATCGGACTTCTTGTTGGTCATTCGTCCCCCATTACTGCCATCATGAATCTCGATTCAATGCGGGATACCTACGCCGGCGTAATAAGAAAATTTGGCCTATTTACTTCTTTTACAGACTTTCCTTGCAGAAAATCACTACGCACGGGTAAGACAACCAATATTTACCGAAATACCTACTCAAAGCACTTGATGTAGGCCTTCGTGTTAAGTCTGAGGTTCCGTGGGAAGATAAATGGAGGCATAATGTTGCTAATACTAGTTATCACTCCAAAAACCTTCGTAATCACCATTAGACTCATCCAACTCTTTCTAAGTCCTCTGCACTGACGTTAGATTGATACCCAAGAACTCAATGGGTCATTTATTGCTGACAAGATTTTTAGTACTGCTAATATTTATTTCCAAGTTCATAGTGGCTATTCCGGCGCAAATGCCAAGCAGTACAAGATGACGCTTCCTAATTTCTGGCTGAGTGAATTGCGTCATGGTGCTCTTTTATAACAGTCGATGCCCAACTGACCTTAATATATTGTGTCATCGACAAAATCCTAAAAAACAACGTATATATATATATATATATATATATATATATATATATATATATATATATATATATATATATATGCACGTTGCTTGTCTATGATTTTCCGCCCTCCCGTTAGTGATTTGCAAAAAACCAATACAGTTTACAAATTCAAGTGCCTTTTGGGAGATTGTATCTCCAACGAATTAAATAATATTTATGTTAGTCACACCACAAACTCGCTTTCACGGCGCTTGACTCTACATTTGAATGATAACTCTAACATTTTTAGGCATTTAAAACAACATGCCTGGCCGCGTACACAATTCCGGAAAATCCTCGTTGAAAACACAACTATACTTAAAAATGAAAACAATAAACCAAAACTAAAAAATTCTTGAAGCTATAAACATAAAACAGTTGAAATCTAACCTGAACAAAATAGACTACAAAATCTCCACAAACATTCTTAAAAGCCTATAATTGATAACAGAAGCTTCCCATACTTAATACTTCTTGTTTTTCACTCTCACGTGGTCATGTGTAACATCACGAGCTGCGACGCGATTTTCGCTTCCGCGTCTCGTATATACGAGTCTGTCTGTTGAAATTTTTCATGCAACAAAAACAGACTTTCATTATTGTTTCGTCCGTGTATTGTTTGATATATTGAAAAGTAATTGTCATCTTTGATAATGGCTTATGTAAGCCGAAAGCTTAGATTGGATTTAAACATGTATCAATATGGCGATTTCCTTCAATGATAATGTTAGTAAGCTTAGACATTATGAAGGAACTTACTTAAAATAAATAGACAAAACTTGTCTTTATTATTTAATGAAACATATATATATATATATATATATATATATAGTTATAGTTATAGTTATATATATTGGGGTGAGAGAGAGAGAGAGAGAGAGAGAGAGAGAGAGAGAGAGAGAGATCTATGTGCGTTGTTTAAGACCAAGACATTTACTTAGATTTTCTATTGTTTGGACTATGACAGCCATCGATGTGAACTTCAAAAATAATACCAAAGAAAACCCATTGAATCGTCACAGACACAATTCTACCAACGTAAAAATACAAATCTTTGGGAATGTCTCAGAACACATCGGGTTCAATATATTCCGTTTCTGCTTGGAAACGCAAACAAAATTAAATTTAAAAAAAAAGAAACCTTCGTATATTTCTTTTTGTTTTTTTTTATATAGATGACATGCAGGAATTACCGCAGTCTTCGTGACTGTTTGAACTGGGCTAAATTTCAAATCCAGAGGACGTTAATGACCTCAGTATCACCAATTCTTTGGTCATAGAGTTGTATTGCCTCCTTCTTATCCTTCCTTCCCTTATTTGCGTGGGTCTTCAATCAGATGAGGCCAATTTTGGATGTTTGGGGGAAGGTGCGTGCCTGAAACTCGCTATCACGTTTCCTTAATAGTGTCATAATAAAAATGTATAACCGATAATATGGGAAGAGTATTAAATGATAATAATATGTGCAGAATAATAATAATAATAACAATAACAATAATAACTGGCATAATAATAAAAATGTTAATATAAATGGGAATTGTTTCCTGTTTAGGATTGGGTTTTCCGATCATTGTAAAGTCTACTTCAACTCAATATTTCTAATGTCTCTCTCTGGACTTTTTATTTATTTATTTTTTCTCCTCAATACGAGTAAATAGATTCGTCTATCGCCAGGTTCAGACTCTTTGAACAGGAGTAGAAGGTTTATCCCTTGCTCGCTGTTTAGGCTCGGATTTCCGGTTCCTTCTAAAGTCTTTTCATGCACTTTCACTCCGAGTAGACCCCTTCGCGTCTTAGTGGCACTGTTGTCTAGTTTGGGTCGAATTGATTAAAAGGAAAAATACAAAAAAGCATGCATATAAGTGAGATATTACATGTAACTATAGGATGATAAGAATAATGGTAAAAATAACTATAAATATACATATACATATATATATATATATATATATATATATATATATAAATAACTATCACTATATATATATACATATAAAACTATCAATATATATATATAACTCAATATATATATATATATATATATATATATATAAATAACTATCAATATATATATACAGTGTAACCCGGATATAAGAGAGTTGTCGGGACCGGAGAAGTCTCTTATATCCGGGTTTCTCTTATATCAGGGTTTGGTCTATTTTATATACATTAACACAGGCTCTAATTTGGGACCAGAGAAAATCTCTCTTATATCCGGGTTTCTCTTTTATCCGGGTCTCTTATATCCGGGTTACACTATATATATATATATATATATATATATGTGTGTGTGTGTGTGTGCCTTTCATGTGGCTGAAACATTAAAATGGATAAATTCTGTATTATTTTTTGACTGTTTTTTGTTTGTTTATTTTTGTTTTTTGCTTTTTTTTTTGGCTCTCCCAGTTAAATTTCTATTCTGACAAGAACTAAGTCTACACCGGAGTTGA